CCCGAGGTTGGGAGGAAAAGAATGTCGTGGCGGCGCTCTGTGTGTCGGAGAGCTCTCGAGGTCTCGACGGGCAGCCTGACCCCTCCCCACCGATGTGTATTTTTCTCTGCCCGATTGCGCGGTGCCTGCAAAAAAGAGAATCTGTGTGCTGTTAGCTAGTGAGCTCATACGCCGCCAAGTGCAAAGAAAACGCTGGCGTTCGGTGTAGACGACGGATAGAGGAGTTGAAGTTCCGGAGTGAAAATTCGAACGCTATCTCTCACGGTGACCGAAAAAATGTCCACCTCAGAAACACCGCCGGAGGCAGGCCGCCGCACGCCGGCGACACAGGTTTAGCAGTGTGGCCGTGTAGCTTCCCTCGACGTCGGGCCGCGCCACCGTCTTGTCCTTGGGCGCCGAGGCGTTGTGCGCGTCCGCCTCGGCGTTGAAGGCGACGAGGACGGCCTCGGGGACGGGCTCGGCCGAGAGGCGGGTGAGCTGCCGCGCCACCGTCTTGCCCGGTGGCGCCGAGGCGTTGTACGCGTCCGCCTCGGCGTTGTAGGTCGACAGCTCGTCGATCGGTGGCGGCGGTTCGGCGCCGCCGCTGTTGCGCGGACTGTGGCACAAAAGGTCGACAGCTGTCGACAGTGGCGGCGTCGCTCTCGGCATCACGCTCACCCGCCTCCAGTGTGGGCGGCAGATAAGCCTCCTGAGCGAGGCTCGGGCCGGCGGCGCGCTCGGAGCTCTCTGAGGAGCCACTCGCCTGGCGTCGACTGCCGCAAAAGATGAAAACACGAAAATTTTGCGTGTTGAATGACTGCACTCCAAATGCTCCAAGTGCGCTCTCCTCCTTTCTAGCGATGAGGCTCGCAGGACCGCTACCAACACTCGACCCTCTCGCCGAGCGTCGTAGACTCTTGCGAGCGTCGAGGTACACTCTGAATTTCTCGCGATGTCTCGAGACACAGCTCGCACGACGCCTCGCAATATCGTCCAACCCGCAAGCTCGGCTTGGGACATTCGACAGCGAGTCCCACAAGGCGCCACTCACAAGGCGCCACTCACTCGCGCCCGCTGGGTAAGCACCTGCGGCGCGCTCACTCCACACGCATGAGCCGGTAGACACAGTGGCCGAGCCCTCCGAACTCGACCACGGCGCCCTCCGGGACGACGGTCGGCGCCGGCTTGGGGCCGTCGGCCGGTCGGCGCGGTCGACCCGGCACCCGCACGCCATTCACTGTGATGCCGTGCAGCGAGCACCTGTCCTCCGCATGGAAGCCGCCGTCGGCGATCTCCACATCCCAGTAGGCTCCCACGCGTAGCTCCGCGTGGGAGCGGCTGATGGTCGACGTCCAGTTCCACGGCACGCCCTCGATGCGGACCCCGCGGCCGACGGCGACGGGCGAGCCGTCCATCGGGATCCCGATCCGCGACGGGGCGCCCTCGCACTTGCTTTCGCGAACCAGTACCAAGAGCCCTCGCAAGGCCCGGGCCAATCGGCGAGCATCCGGGTGCCACGCGTCGTGCGTCAGGGCGAGCTGGATACTCTGCCGCGCCTGGGTGTGCTGCCCACGCCTCATCTCCTCGTAAGCACGCCCCATGACAGCAGCAGCGAGTACGTTCCCGCGGTTTGGGCGGGGCTGCCAATCGACACCCGCACCCTCGGCCGGCTCAGCCGAGGGGAGCCCGGCCTGCGCGTCCTCGGCCGGCGCGTCCTCCGCCACCTCCATGTCGATGTCGGCTGCCGCGGCGCTGTCAGCCTGGTCGAGCTGCACGTTCACCACCTCCGCGTCCGCACCCTCGGCCGGCTCAGCCGAGGGGAGTCCGTCCGGCGCGGCCTCCGCCACCTCCATGTCCATCGCGTCGGGGCTTGCGGTGCTGCCACCAGTCGGCTCCTGCGGCGGCTTGGTTTGGCTCGAGGGCGCCGCCTCCGAGCCCCCCGCCTCTTCCTGGCACACAGCCGCGATAACCGCTCTGGCCTTGACTGCAGTCTTGCGCG